CCCCAAAACCCCAAAACCCCAAAACCCCAAAACCCCTTTTAAATATAAATTGGTTGACTCTTAAAAATTAATAAAATGTCTGGTGTCACTCACGGAGAAATTGTTCGCCTCTTAAAACTTCTTCCAAAGTACGAGTATGCCTTCTATTACAATCACATTACGAGAAAAGGAATTTCTAAAAGTAAGATAGCAGCAGGAAGCCTTGAAGAATAGCTTAGCAGTATTTAGCCTCGTAGATGGATTAAATAATATTTTAAAAACAATTGTTCTGGAAAAGATCATTTTAAGTATTCATAGATGAGGTTGTTTAAAGTAAGAACCCTAGATCATACACTCTAACCATAGCTTTATAGGACTCATTGTAGCAGTTGATAATCTCAAAGAATTCCATAAAGAAAATATAAAGTTGAATAAAACTCATTACCCTTACACTGCAAGGTTCTTTAAAGAAAAGATTATCAATTTCTTTTCAAAATATGGAGCACGAACTCATTTCAACACTTTCAAACTTGAAAATGAGGACAATTTTAAATACGGTATCATTAAAAAGCAAGATCTATTACAAGATTTGACATCTTGGGAAACTTTACTTTGAAGTTCCTTCATGATGAGACCAATTAGTGAACTTAAAACAAACCCTGAAGTTAAACTTGCCCAGTATAATAACCTCAGAAGTGCAACTGCTACTGCTGCAATCTTGACTAAAAATGGTGAAAGTGAAGTAGAGTTTTACCAAAAGATTGTCAAAATTCCTCATTATAAATCTGTTAGCTGGTTCCAATTGTTAGAGAAAGAAGATTCCAAAAGAGCTGTAGAAGAGGACCTAAGAAGGTTCAGGGAAATATACCAGCCAATTATTGAAAATGACTTTAGAGATAGCTTCAAGATAATAAATGGGCAGTTTGAAAAATAATGAATGCAGTAGTGTTACAAGGTATCTTCTTAGCAACATCAATGATAATGTTCATCAAAATCTGAACTCAATTTCACCTCTCAAATATGATGAAGAAAAGAAATTTCATAAGAAACTCATGACCAGAGAGGAACTTTATGAGAAAATTGATGATAGTGTTACTACTTTATCTCATGATGAACTTTCCCTAAAAATCAAGAGATCTCTTGATAAGATTTTACTTTCTCACAGAAATAGTGCTATCTTCTTGATACTAATGAGTGGGCCTTTTTTGATAGGATTTTACGCATTCAAATATGCTCTCAAGATTCTTTTGTTCTATGTAATTCTGAAGAAGAAGCCCAAAGCAAATAAAGACTCAAAAGAAGAAGGGGTAGAGAAGAAGATACAAGAAGACAAATCTCATAATTAAGTCCTTTTAGAGGGATAAAAAAACAAGTATTAATAGTCATACGCAAAACTTGGATATAAAATATGTTATTAAAGATTTTATTGATTTATAAATGGCTCTAAAATTTCAATATAAGGTAGGAAAAACGGGGTTTTGGGGTTTTGGGGTTTTGGGGTTTTGGGG